TTATATAATGGAATCACACAACATATCTTTTTTGACTGCTTTCCTCAGTGTGAGTTTTCAAGACACAACCATGTTGGAGCTTGAAATAGTGTTTTCTTCTCAATCGCCTAATAATATTTTGTTGTACAGATATAACATTTATCCATTTATCAATTGATGGATACTGGAGTAGTTTTTATTTTTTGACTGTTATGAATAATGTTCCTATGAACATTTATGTACAAGTTTTGTGGAGGACACATATTTTCATTTGTCTTGGGTATGTAAGAGTTCAGTTGCTGGGTCCTATGGTAACTCCATGCTGAGTACTTTGAGGAATTGCCAGAGTGTTCATACTTGCTCTCATGTTAAGCTATTGATGTCTTGGTGCTGTTCTTACAGATTTGTATGAGCTCTTTATATAAGGTCAATGTTAGCCTTATATACTTGCAGAAAGTATTTCAGTCCCCATATGTTGCTTGCCTTTAATTCAGATGAGTTTTTTTTTGTGTGCAAATATTTTTCAGTTCTATATTGTCAGTTCTGTCAATATTTCATTTTGCAACTTTTTTCATTGTTACTAAGCTTTTTAAAAAACCATTCCTTGGCTGGGCAAGGTAATGCATGCCTGCTGCAGTCCCAGCTACTCAGGAGGCTGAGGAGGAAGTATTGCTTGAGCCCAGGAGGTTGCAGCTGTGGTGACCCATGATGGTGCCACTACATTCCAGCCTTGGTGACAGAGCGAGTCCTTGTCTCAAAAACAAACAAACAACAAACTATTCCTCTGTGGAGTTTGAATCATATTAATATTTATTTTCCTGTAATTTTTCTATAATTTGATCTTTTAAAATATTTCATTACTTTATTTAGGTCATTTTGGTGGATAAGGTGAGTTTAAAATAAAAGTGGTTTTATTTTTACTCCCAATTATCTAACCAGTTGTACCATTACCATTTTTCCGAACATTTCCTCTTTCCCTGCTGAATTTGTCTTTGTATTGCCTCTTTTATTTATTATTAATTTTTACATGTCCTAATGTCTGTTTTGGTCAGCATGCCTATTCCTGCACCAGTACCACATTGTTTAAATTACTGAAAGTTTAGAATATGTTTTGTACCCAGGAAAACAGCCATATTTCCCTCAATCCAGCTCCTCGTATTTAATCAATCATCTTTTCCAAATATTTCTTAGTGACTCTTATTGTTTTCCAGATGTTTCCCAGCTTTTTCCAAAGTTCTGTTATGTTTTCTAAATACTGTTGGAATATGTGTTGTGCTTGCATGAAATTCCCAATTAAAATTCAAGAGACTTGACATTTTAATAGCAGGAAATTTTGTCATCCAGGAACCTGGTATATCTCTCTGGTTATAGTTTTTTGAAAAAGCTCAGCCAAGTATTGTACTCATTATATGTGAATCACACAATGTTTACTCCCCACTGGAGCAGCTCCAGGTTCTGAGGGGCCTAAAGCTTATGTGATTTTGGGGGGTTTTCTTAAAGAAAATGAATAGAAAATTAGAAATACAAAATTAGGTACCTAATCTTGGAAGGAGCCTGGGCAAGTAGTGGACTCTGGGACTGCCTTTATTTTCCAGGTAGTTGGCTTCTTTTCACAGGTATGTCTTTGTTGATCTGTTATTATATATTTGTAATATATTATCTATAGGATAGATATATTATCTATAGAATAGATAATATATTACAAATACATTATTTATATAGGAATTAAAGAAGCTATGAACTAAACTTAGAAAATACCTTGAATAAAACTGTTTTCTACTTTTCCATTTTGCAATGTTTGTACAAACAATCATACTATGTGGCTAGCAATAACCTTATATCATCTTCTGTAATATTTTTTCTACGTCTTAAACTTGTTGAGAAAAGGATCCATATATTGGAGGTCATTAATAAATGTTTTTTAGTGATGACTGATAAACTCAGTATTTACTGAGGCCATAGCTAGATGAATTTGTTACTCACCAAGTTTAATGCTTCAGATGCAGCAAAATTTTGCCCATAATGCAGAGTGTAGGCTACAGACCTGTACATATAAAATAACATACTTTGCATCATAGACTGGGTTTTTAATACAACTTTTTTTCTTCTTTTAGAGTGAGGATCTTACTCTCTTGCCCAGACTCGAGTGTGGTGGTATGATCATGGCTCACTGCACCTTTTAGCTCTTGGAATCAAGCAGTCCTCCCACCTCAGCCTGCCAAGTAGCTAGAACTGCAGGCATGTGCTACCATGCCCAGCTAACTTAAAAAAATTTTTTTTTAGAGACAGGGTCTTGCTATGTTGCCCAGGCTGGGCTTGAACTCCTGGACTCAAGAGATCTCCCACCTTAGCCTCCTGAAGCACTAAGATTACAAGTTCGAGCCACCACATCCAACTTTAATATAATTTTAATGCTCTAAACTCAGAGTATATGAATAAAGACTTCAGCAGTTTTCATCCTAGGAATTATTCAAGAAACCATGTATTTGACCTGGTTTCTTGGATAAAAAATAGCCAAATGGGTAGAAATGCTTCCTAATGAAATACTCTTGAACTTAAGTCAATAACTAGGTTTAAAGAGTCTCATTAGGGACTTGCTCTATTTACAAAACAAATGAAAACTATTGAAAAGATTATTTGGTGGCTGTGTCCTACCGCTACAGCATTTTATAAGATAAGGGATCTAATTTTCATAGGCCATTTGAAAACCACACATTTTAGAAATTTCAGAAATCTCATCATTTATCACTTCTGTTTTACTTCTTGATGGTTTTGAATTCTAATGTAGAGATTGTAGAACAACAGAAAAGTGGACAGTTCAAGTTATGTATTAGTTAATTAAATTAGCTGTCATCTTTGTAGGTAATACGTATTTTGGAAAACTCAAAAAATCCTATAGTACCCAAAGCTTCCCACCAAGTGCATACCTCTAAAAGAGGTATAAACACATTGCGGCTTATGGCACTGAGAACACCAACTCTAGTCCCTAATTATCCAAATAATCAAGAATATGGGGATGTTTTTACTTAAGACTTTGGTTTTAGTAACCCAAGATACCTATTCACAATAAAGAATGCTCAGGTAAGTGTGATTATAACTGCTAGTTAAGTTTAGTTGTATGATTAACTGTATTCTGATACATGGGATTAAGAAAGGATGCAGTAAAATACAAGCAGCTTTAAGAGATTTGATTAGCACACAAAAAAGGTGGAGGGAAAAGCTCACAGACTCACCTGAAATTGTTCTTGGGCCAGGCACAGTGGCTCACACTTGTAATCCCGGCACTTTGGGAAGCCATGGCGGAGGGCGGGTGGGATAGATGGGGAAGTGCGGGAGAGGCCAGATCACTTGTGGTCAGGAGTTCAAGACCATCCTGGGCAAGGTGGCAAAACTCCGTCTCTTCAAAAAACAAAAATTAGATGGGCACAGTGGCAAGCACCTGTAGTCTCAGCTACTTGGTGGGGTGAGGCAGGAGGATCACTTGAATGGGGAGGCTGCAGCTGCAGCTGCTATGAGCCGAGATTGTGCCACTGCACTCCAGCCTGGATGATAAAGTGAGACCCTGTCTCAAAAACAAACAAAAAAAAGCAAACTTATTTTTGGTCAACGTGATTTAATGCATATTAGATTTTTTCTTTGTCTAAACAGCAGGAAATAACAAAAACTCTATAATTTATATGTGCTTTTGGAATTGGTAACCACAGAAAAATCCATGAAATTTTAGGATGTTTTTAAGTGTATGGAGGTTTTGAACATTTCTTTTAATAAATCTCACCTTTTTCCACCTCCAAGTGGACTTTTGGGAAATAAAAGTGGATTATTACTGTGAATTGATGCAATGAAAAATATTTATTGATGTGCACAACATACCACCCAAATTAAAAGCCTACATTTGGAACAAGACAGTTAAAACCATGACAAAACATAATAACGTTACATTGTATTAAGAGGTGAGAAAAGAAAGAAATGAATGACTGTGTGATGTTCTGTCCCTTCCTTTGGAGAACTTTTGCATGGAATACTGTGATTAGCATGGTGATGGCTCCAGCTTTAAACTTTTATCACTGTCTAGGTTGTAAAGCAGGGCATGCAATATTATATCTTAAAAGCTCTTTAATTTTTAAAAACCCCAGAGAGCCTTTAAGTGAGACTTAATTAAAATTCAAATCAACCTTAGATGTATGTCCAAGACAGTTTTCAAAAGACTGTACAATCTGTGCACCTTTGATTCCATTCCTTTCCAGTGTTATCTGCAGTAGCTCCAGGCAGCACCCACTTGGCCAGTGAGTTTGGAAACCCATGAGGGCATTCTGGGGTTGACACATTGATTTGATATAAGGTATCACTGACACTTAACAGGAGGGGACCAGGTGTGCCTGATGGCCCCAAGGCTTAATTTGGTTCTGCACAATGAAAAATGTTCCTGCCCTGCTAGTTTCAAAAGACGCCCTGAACACTATCCGATGACAAATATGGCAGTAGTACTTTTAATATGGATCTAAGTCAGCAGCCCTTCCATGTGAGGGAATAATGAAAAGTTTTAGACAAAGCTACACAAAAAGTCTCCTTATTTAGGAAAAAGTCCTTAGGTAGAGGAAAGCTTAAATTACATAAAGATATTTTATAAGAATTTTTGAACAACTTACTCTTTCTGTGATCTTGGCTTTGTTGTTTTGTTCACTATAGTCCTTTTGGCATTAATGTGATGTTTTAAAAGATGATACTACAATATTACTGATCTTGATGATTGAATTTAAATTTAAGGAACCCTTAAATTTTGTGCTTGAAGTGAGTGGTTGACTCTTCTCACTGTAGACATAACTGGTGTTCACAGTTTACAGGGGAAAGGGTTTCAGTGCAGCTGCGCATTTACTGTAAAGGCAAGAAAATCAAAATTATGTTGCGTAATTAAGGATATTTGGAAATCACTTAGCTAGACTATAAGACTGAATATCATTAAGAAGCAAATGAAATACAGAAAGCACAATACATTTTATGAATAAATGTGATTTTAAAATAAATTCACTGCCCTTGAGATGTCATCAATTCTCCGTCACTGCTGTGATCTTCTGATAGGCATTGCCGCTGGATGGAGTGACCTGATACACACCAACAGCCTCCAAGTACACAGACAATTCAAGGCAATGATAGTATCCATAGGAAGACCTTCACATGGTGAAAGTGCTGATTTATTGATTAGCTATTATGCAGGGCCAGCTGTAGATGCTATCAACTCAAGACCATGGGTTGGAGGATTAATGTTCATATTCATATTCCTTGCATGCAGGAATTTGAATCCCCTGCATGCAAGCTACTTGATCAAGTTAAAGTAGTTGCCCACAAAGCACAGATGACGACCTACTACACTGTGAGAACGTTCTTGGATCAGTGCATGGATAGTTCCATTGCTTTACCTGCTGTTGTGTCCAAGATTTCAGTTTTTCAGCAGAAGCAAGTACTGCTTTAAAAGGTACTTAGAGATTTCTTTGAATGTGGGGGTGTACTTTGCCACCCTGTTATTGGGGAGCTATCACCATGAGTGTTCCCAAACTTAGTAACAGCAGCAAAATACTGGGCCAAAAGAAATCCCACATTTTCTGGATTTGAAGCCCCTGACATTATATCAGGATCAACTATTATACTCCCTCTACTTCAAATGGCATCTGCTCGCAAAATCTCCAGAGGAAGTGATGTGGGTCCGTATACTCCTTTGTGAGTACAGGAGTTCAAGATTTAGATAACAAGCACGTGAACTAAGCCTCATTTTATATATATATATAAAGAAATTATGTGAAAATCACATTCTAAAATTATCTGAGGGTTGCCTAGTGTTTTCAATCTTAGTCTGATATGTCTCTGACATCTATCACAACTTCTCTATAATTCTTTACTTCTTTAAAAGAATCTATCCAACCTTCTCTATGGCCATTGAAAGATGTGATCTCCAAAGTCTTTTTAAGTACTGGAGGCTAAAAATATGCTTTGACGTGTGGTAGAGTTTTGAAATAATTGAAATATTTTCTGTAGTTACATAAGGAGTTATTTTTATTTTATTCTTTATAGATAAGGCCTAGATCAGTTTTAAGGTTATTGCATTTCCTCTCTAATTTGTGTTGATTATTTTTCTAATTATGTAGAAATAACTCTGATGCACTATCACTTACCCTAGCACTGTTTTTTGTTATGGTTCTAGTGTCCCTGTACCTCTGTTCTTTTCAGGGGATCTCTTTTATGGAATGACTTATTATCTTTTTTAAATCACAGTGTAATCATGAAGTCAATGCAAGGATCTGGCTATTTTAATAGATGTAATGTAGTCATATCTGAGCATTTACATATTGAAATACGTGTTATGAATTATTTTCCTTTTAGTTCTCTGTTAAATGATTGAGATACTGTTTTCATTTCTAAAACATTGTTTATGTAGAGTATATCATCCAAGAATTTCATTCCTGAATATGTGATAGATTGTTTCCAAAGGTGGCCATAGCAATATCTCCCATTCCACATCTATTTTCTTTCTGTAGCCCAAGGCTGAGTGCGGTGGTGCGATCTCCGCTCACTGCAACTTCCGCCTCCTGGGCTCAAGCAATTCTTCCGCCTCAGCCTTCCAAGAAGCTGTGACTACAAGGGCATGCCCAGCTAATTTTTTGTATTTTAGTAGAGACGGACTTTCACCATGTTGTCCAGGGTGGTCTCGAACTCCTTGGCCTCCCAGAGTGCTAGGATTGCAGGTGTGAGCCACAGCACCCGGCACCACGTGTACGTTCAATATAACCTTGCCATTTCAACATCAAGAGGTGGGGTCTTTTTTCCCTTTCCTTGAACTTGCCTTGGTCCTGTGACCTGTCTTGGCCAATAGATGCAGCGAAATAAGACTGTAAGTTTGGGGCTTGGCCTTAAGAGATTTGCAGTTTCCACCTTTGCTTCCAGGAATGTTCTTTCTTTGAACATTGCTGCCATGCTACCAGGCAGCCCGAGAAGCCACATGAGAGATTGACCTGAAAGACAAGGGTGGTCCTAGACCAATAGCCCCAGCTGACCTCCGGGCCAGCAGCCAGTGCCAGCTCAGTTATGTGAGTGAGGCCACTTTGACTTAGGGGCCACAGAGCCCCAGCTGCCAATACTTTGTCAAGCAGAACTGCCCAGTCAACCCACAGAATCATGAGAAGTCACACATTGCTGTTTGGGATGGTTTATTTCACTTAGTAGTTAAACAAAATAGACTATCAAAGGGAGTCATTAAAGCATATTTGTAAAAAATGTTGTTAAATCTGACATTGTTGAGAACCGCTGTCACAGACAGTAAACACTTCCCCCTTAGGACTTTTAAAAGATTCAACAACTTGCAAAGTTTTTTTTTCTAATAAGTTTTTTCTAAAAAGAGATCACTTGGATTAAAAACTGGTCAATTCTCAGATTTAAAAAGAACCATAAAGGCAGAAACTTGGCACATCAATTTCTGAATATTTTAAATTCTCTTCCATTTTGTTTAAGTGAGAAGTTGATCATTTTCTATTGGATGGCAAAAAACATGGCTAGAGTTAGCTGTAAGGTAATGGTTGCCAGTTGGGCGCAGTGGCTCACGCCTGTAATCCCAGTACTTTGGTAGGCCGAGGCGGGCAGATCTTGAGGTCAAGAAATCGAGACCATCCTGGCCAACATGGAGAAACCTAGTCTCTACTAAAATACAAAAATTAGCTGGGCGTGGTGGTGCACACCTATAGTCCCAGCTACTCAGGAGGCTGAAGCAGGAGAATTGCTTGAACACGGGAGGCGGAGGTATCAGTGAGCCAAGATCATGCCACTGCACTCCAGCCTGGCACCTGGCACTAGAGTGAGACTCTGTCTCAAAAAAAAAAAGACAGTGGTTGCCATTCTATGAGTCAAAAACTGGTGAAATTTCTCCAACTCTTTGCTTACCAGTCATTATCTGTGTGCTAATTCTCAAATGCATACAGATGTTATTATGATTAGAAAAATGCAAATTCACTCAAAACACTATTAATTTTGTAGTTTCCTTTTGGTCATTATATATTTTTCAGTTGTGGGGGGATCTGAATATTAAGGTGGAGTTCTTATACTTGGAATGTTGAGAAACCCCCTGCTAGAGGGCCCTGAATCCTGCCACTGATGGATTTGTAGCTGCTAGTGTTCCTTCAGATGAATCACCATCTTCTCTCTATTTGGTTTCTGGATCTTGAAATCATCTGGTTTCTTACAGTAAACTGAGCAATGGGCTAGGAAAAGAAATTCCATAGAAAAGTTAAGAACTGTTAGTGACAGATGTAGGGCAACATAGCCTGTCGTTAACCATCATAAAGGAATTGCTTCATGGAACCATTTTTAGAAAGCACGGACTTTTGTGTAAAGCTCGGGTTGGTGGAGATATAAGTAACTAGGAATAAATGGAAAAGCTAGTGGTTGTACATGAATGAATAAAAATTCATAGTAATTTATGGCATTTGACTTGAGTGCTGTACACAAACAAGGACATATTCCAGAAGTCTCATGTTAGGAAATGATATTTACTGAATCTGAGCATACCTTTAAATATTTTAAATACCTTTTAAACCTTTTATGCCTTATATTTTTCAAAGAATTTTTTTTGACTGTTATCTACTTCACAAGTGTCTTGAGGCTCTAATGAGACATTATTCTCCCTGTTTATAGACCAGGAAACCGAGGGCACAAAGAGGTCAAGTTATTTGGTCACAGTCTAAGGTGAATCACAGAGCCAGGACAGGGTCTGGGTCCTCATTTAGTACTTTTAGAGTATACGTGATATTTAAGATCAAAGGTTATAAAACACCTGTTCTTGTGTACCGAGAAGCAGTTTGGTCAGGAGACCCCTACCCAGGTGAGCTGAAGGTATTGAGAGGCAGACACTCAGATAGAACAACAGAGTGGATCCATCCTGGGGACCAACAGCCTGCGTGCCTGCAGGGCTGACAGCTCTCCAGACTGAAGGCCCAAGTAGATTTTTATCCCCGTATTTATTTACTCTTTGACAAGTGATTCTCATTACACAACTGTTCTACATATACACATAACTCAAGAATATACCAAGTAGGCAGCCTACCACTAATTACAAACTAAAAGTATCTACCACAAGGGAACCATGCGGCAGGGTAAATTTAATGTTTCTCAACACTTGTGTTCTTGTCAAGCACTGACATTAGATCTACCAACCCTTACTGAGATTAGCTTGATGAAACTAGCCAGGGAGAACTTGCTCCAATACCAGAAAGAGAGAGGGAGAAAGGGGCACATAAAACAAATGAAAAAGCCAGTGTGAACATCACTGTGTTCACTTGCCTATTGAAGTGATTTCATGTACTTATTGTTCTTCTTTGTTATGAGTGATTGACAGTTTCTTAATCGAATATAGTGAATAAAAATGTCTTTGGAAATCTATTACTGCTGTCGTCGTTAATCTGTAACATACAATTCAAGTAGTGTGCTTACTGTGTAATTTCATTTTAAAAGCAATTCCTGTAGCTTTCCTCTCACCTAGTCTGTCATCACCAAGCATCTAAGTGGACCCTCGAGCTACCAATGTTGACCTTCGATTGAGTATTTGATTCATTTTAAGTGATTTCCTCCATAATTTGAACGTAGACCAACACAGGGGTTTAGCAATGTAAGAGAAAGACTAAGGTTTAAAAGAACTATGTTGAGATTCTCAGGTGCAAAAAAAAAAAAAATTGGAGGACTGTTTTGAGTTAATTTGCGTCAATATTGGCAGAAACTTTGGATATCATTAATCAGCCGGTGTTTGCATTTTTAAAATCTTTTAAATGTTGGTGTCCGATGGAAATCTTTTTAGTTTTAAATTTTGCTAACTAAGATGTAACAGCAGGGAGAGGAGAAGGAGGAAGTAAAGAAAAATCGCTGTCCACTTTTCTCACTCTTTCATAAAAGGTGGGACTCAATTTCAGAATAGAGGACAATCGTTTAAATTGAGAAAAGCTGGCTTCATGGACAGTTCTCACATAGCCCTTACTTCCTTGCTATCCTGTGGACTGGTGAAAATTTAATGAGAGAGGGAAGTTGCTTAACATACCTGCACTGGGACCACAAACCAAAGCCAATCTCTTTGTTTTATGGATGAGCAATTTAGAATTCCTGTCCATGTATATCTAGACATACTTCGAGAAGCTTAGTAAGGCTGATTCATGAGTATTTCTTTCATTCTTTTTTTCTTTTCTGAAGAGAGCTTCCTGCTTTATTCCCTGCTTGTGCTGGCCAAAGCCCCTTAGAGATCATGTACTTAGAAAGGCCCAGTCAGCATTTCCAGTAGCCGCGAGAGCTCCTTGCTTGTCCTGTCAAAGATAATGCTATCTTTATGGTAAATAGTGGCCTCTTTTCCTTTATATTGTTGCTGGAGTAGTCAAAAAATTAAATTTCTCTGATGGGCAATCTGAGTGTTCTGGCTACTAATGTCATTCACCAGAAAAGTGAGGCCACTAATTAATATTAGGTCGGAGCATAAATGGAATTTGGGACACTCTTTTATAATTTTGTTCACCAGGCATAAAAGAAATTTTATGAGAGTTACATTTTCCCAGTACCATATCTCTTGTTATAACTTCTGAAGTCCATAGAACTTTGTTTTCTTAATGTTTTTACCCTGGCATTTTCAGGATTGGCATGTATAGGAAAAAAAAATATCTTGCATGTATAGGAAAAAAAACCAATCTATCCTCTCTGTTTTTCAATCTGTCCTCTCTGTTTTCCAATCTATCCTCTCTGTTTTCTAATCTATCCTCTCCGTTTTCCAATCTGTCCTCTGTTTTTCAATCTGTCCTCTCTGTTTTCAATCTATCCTCTCTGTTTTCCAATCTATCCTCTCCGTTTTCCAATCTGTCCTCTGTTTTTCAATCTGTCCTCTCTGTTTTCAATCTATCCTCTCTGTTTTCCAAATTATCCTCTCTGTTTTTCAATCTATCCTCTCTGTTTTCAATCTATCCTCTCTATTTTCCAATCTATCCTCTCTGTTTCCAATCTATCCTCTCTGTTTTCAATCTATCCTCTCTGTTTTCCAATCTATCCTCTCTGTTTTCAATCTATCCTCTCTGTTTTCCAATCTA